CTGGGGACACCTGCCCTGGATCTTGTCCCCTTGGGGAGACCTTGGTCCCCAACAGGCTTTCTGGCTTTTGATAATTATTTTCTTTCTCTCCCCAGAAAAGCTCAAGAACCACAAGATCATCTTCGTGGTGGGTAAGTTGGTGGCTGGGTCCTGCCCTGTCCCCAGGGCTGGGGGGCTGTGGGGGGCAGCTGGTGCCCAGGGTGGGTGAGCTGGTCTGGGGGACCTCACTGTTCCCAAGTGGGGTGGCCGTGACTCCAGCCAGGCGCCTTGAGGCCATGGTGGGGTGTGCTGGGACCCAGAGGGGACCTCTGGATGGGCGGGGGGGGGTGGCAGTGTCTGGGGTGATGTGACAGTAAACCCTGGGGGGGGGATGTCCCAGATGCCATCAGGCAGTGATGTCCTTGGTACCAGTGGGGTGGTGACATCCTGGGTGCCATTGGGACAGTGATGTGCAGGTGCTGATGGGATGGTGGTGGTGTCCTGGGTGCCATCAGGGAGTGATGTCCTGGGTGCTCATGGGGTCATGATACCCAGGGTGCCGTTGGGACAGTGGTGTCCAGGTGCTGATGGGATGGTGACATCCTGGGTGCCATCGGGCAGTGATGTCCTCGGTGCCAATGGGATGGTGACATCCCAGGTGCCATTGGGACAGTTAAGTCAAGGTGCTGATGGGGGGGTGATGGTGTCCTGGGTGCCACCAGAGTGGTGGTGCCCACATGCCAGTTGCCAGCAACCCCTGCCACTCCCAAAGACCTGCCATCCCCAAGCCCACCCCAGGGGCAGTTCTTCCCATCCAGCTGGTGCTGGACTTGGGGACCCTGTCCCCCATCTCACCAGGCTGTGGGGACTCTGGTGGGTCCCCATGTACCCCTCCAGCTCCTCATCCCTGGCTGGGGGCATGTGTGGCTCTCGTGTGACTTGCAGGTGGCCCCGGCTCGGGGAAGGGGACACAGTGTGAGAAGATTGTGCAGAAGTATGGGTACACCCACCTCTCCACGGGGGACCTGCTGCGGGCGGAGGTCAGCTCGGGCTCGGAGCGGGGCAAGAAGCTGCAGGCCATCATGGAGAAGGGCGAGCTGGTGCCACTGGTGAGTCCATGCTGTGGGGAGACCAGATACCACGGTGATGGTTGGCACATGGCCCAGGGACATCTCCATCCCTGCCCCCCCAGGGACTGGGGATGCTGGGGGGATGACGCTGTCCCACATCAGCCCTGGCAGCTCTGTCCCTCTCTCCCTCCCTCCCCAGGACACGGTGCTGGACATGCTGCGGGATGCCATGGTGGCCAAAGCGGATGTGTCCAAGGGTTTCCTCATTGACGGCTACCCCCGCGAGGTGAAGCAGGGAGAGGAGTTTGAGAAGAAGGTGAGGGCTGGGGACATGGCACCCACTATCCATGCAGAGGGGACACGACCACGGTGTCCCTCTGCCTTCCTCCGCGTGGGTCTGGGGGCCACCGGGACCCGGT